CCATCATGTGGGGTTTTTAATTTTCCTTTTGAAGCAAGTTATACTCTCGTAAGTGTCCCCTCCAGGTCCCTCGCCAACACTGTTGCCAGTATCCTACCTTCCCCTTGTGATGATGTCACTACTCTTCTGGATCCTGAGAAGACTCCGCCGTTGGACAGCCAATCGAAAGTGTTCATATCCCTCAGGCAGTGAGGAAGACTTGAAATCTGAGTGTCACGTGACCACCCTTTAGGTAAGTCAAAATGGTATTTGGACTTTTTTGGGGAAATGGTATTTGGATTTTTTTCATTCATCAGTATTATCCTGGAGATGGGTTTTTGTTTTTTTTTGAAAATAGTTTATTCGTGTCAGAGAATTATGCAATTATGATAACATTTTCAGTTGTTAAACACCAACACATTTCAGTAACGTCTGAAGCATCTGGAGATGGGTTTTAAGTCTCTCAATTTGTCCTGGTGACCATTGTAACCGAGAGTGAAACTCAAACCTTGAGTTGCCATAAGAACAGGAATACATGAACAAAATTTCAATGATGACACTGGTGACAACTGATTTAGCTAGCGAGATTTCCTCTCAATTACTTCTGTGTCTATTGGGGCCTAATGGGACACAGGTGGCACATTATAACCATTGCCTACTCTATCCAAATAAATAAATAAAATGTTTTGGGATTAGTTATACTATGCAAGTTAACATATATGCTTGCTTTGGGCTAATAGGAAGGGCATCACCACAGACATAGCTTGTCCCAAGATATCATAAAAACTAGGGATGCACAGATACCGGAACTTCCCGTCAGAGGAAGATTTCCTCTGACCGGCAGTGCTGTAGGGGAGCATGGAGCCAGCTTCCAGTACGATCAGGCAATGTAATGAGTAATGACCCGCCTCCTGGCTTCCTGATTGGCCGGGAAGCCGGCTCCTTGCTGATTAACCGGGAAGCAGGCTTCCTGGCCAATCAGCATCGAGCTGGCCGAACAGCGGTAATGACACTAGCGGTATTTTAGAAATACACGTCTTGGGTTGGATGTGAGTACAGGGCATTTGATTATCTCCAACATACAGTACGTACATTGTGCGAATGTAACATCCATATCCAGATACCATTCAGATCCCTAAAAATCTTGGTTTAAGGTAACTAGATTTTTGATACCACATTATATAGATGAAGCTGATGACTGAACAAGGCTATGAAAAGTCACATGTTATTACTAGATCTTATTTGGGGCACCCATGCGCGGCGGCTTGTTTTCTATCCCCTGCAGTCTCACCTGGCATATGGATTATTGTTGGCATGGCACGGCATATGTGCAAGTGATGATACATGTTTTTGTAAATAGATGTATAATTATATAAATGACTTTATCATACTAATGGTATAATTGAGATATCCACATATGTCTTCTAAAGAAGCAGGCACAGCTCTGCAAAATGGGTTAAAACTACCTCTCTTCCACTACTGACCACCAGTATACCTTGGAAAGAGTTTGTACCTTCACAATATGTAGAAACTATGTAGTAGAAAATATATTTGGTAGACATATGGGTAGATATTCAGTTGAGATATGAGATAATGGAGAATAATACAAATCCTGTCCATATAATTGTATCAATTTCTTAACCAAAATCTGTTCATCTATTTATATGTGAATAACACTGATATTCTTTTATAAATAATGACTCTATATTTTTGACACCTTAAAAGTCCTGCATTGTTGATGTTTTTCTCTATGTAATTTAGACATGTGGTGTCTTCTTAATTTGGGGACAGGTGGTTAATGTTTGGCTTCCTGGCCAATCAGCATCGAGCCGGCCGAACAGCCAGCTTGATTGTGATTGGCCGGGAAACCGGCTTTCCGGCTAATCAGCATAGAAGCGGCTTCCCGGGTCATTACTCACCTCCCACCTTCCTGATTGGCCGGAAAGCTGACTCGATACTGATTGGCTGGGAAGCCGGTTTCCTGGCCAATAGCAATCAGGCTGGGCAAACAACATGGAGTCAGATTGCCCCGGGAAGCCTGCTCCATGCCAGCGGAAGCACCAGTATCAGTACTCGGTA